AAACAATATGAACTACATTATGAAATATATACAAGTACCATAGAATTTTTCCTTCATTACAACCTGAAGTTACTATGTCCTCTTTGATGATGGTGTTAGGTGAAGGCAGGATGATCACTAAACAGTTTCATTTCCCCAGAGTGACTTACCTTGTCATCCATGACTGCAAGGCTCCTTTCCAGTCCCTTGTGACTGTGAAACAGGGCCTCAGAGCTAACAAGGTCTTTGCCATAGTCTTCAGAGATGAGAAGAGGCTCCTTCTCTTTGATCCACTGGATGGCTTCCGTCACATCCCTACCAGACATTAATGTAGGCTCTGACCAAATGAACGTAATATTGCAAGGCAACAGAAAAACAGGCTAAGCAGCGTGGATCAACATAGTCCACTCAGATAGCCAATTTCCTGCCTTCCCACAGACCAGCAAAGGTAACCTTTAAAGTTCCTACTTATAGAGTTCATAAAGTTATAATATTGAAATATTAGGGATCATAGTCTCTTGGTGGTTGAGCTCCCATGGATGCTTCTTATATAAAAGTCAGCTATTCATGGATACATTTTTCCCCAAACTCATCCTCAACTATGTTTGTCTTACTTTTCTCTCCTCTGCAGAACTTCTATCCCTAATACATTAGTGCTAATTTTTCTATTGCTTTGGAACCCAGCTTCCCATAATTGGTTACTGAGGGTGTCTCAATTGTCTTAACTTCCTTGCTGTTTCAAAGGTTAATGCATTATGCACTTTGAAGTACTGGCAATGAATTGCAAGCAGGAGTAGATAGGGATTGTTAGAGTTTAGAGTTACAATGGCCCCAAAGCCTTATGTGTTTATAATGTGATTGCTTCACAGGGATGCTGTACTCAGTGGCTCTATCCAGCATCCACAGGTGCTATTTCAACTATTTCAAGGTGGGACCAGAAGAGCTAGGTCACTAAAGATGTCCTAGAATTGTTTATCCCCCTCCCCTGCTCCTCATGCTCCATGCTTCCCTGGCTGCTGTGATATAAGGAGTTTTCCACCGCCACATGCTTCTTCCATATTGTGTCTTCCTTCAAATGAACTGACCATTGTTTGTAACCATCAGAAAAATAAACTTCTTCTTTAAGTTGCAGGGGTCAGGTACTTTGTCCCAGTGAAAAGATAGGTGACTAAGACAGAGCCAATACAAGTAAACATGATGTCATCTGAGGGTGGACAGGTTATACCTTTTGAATCTCTGGAGATCTGCAGCACCGGACAAAGTTTCCCTTCTCTGGGAAGCCAGGTTAGAGAGATCCTTCCAAGCAGCATTGACCTCATCCTGCTCTAGCTTTATCACGAGCAGCTCTGGATGGTTCTCCTGGAGAAAGGTATCAACAATGAACTTGTGCAGAGATGAAGTTACATCAAAGAACATTTCCCCACTTTACAGGGTTTATATTTGGTCAGAAGCACAGAGTGGACACTGTAACAAGACTGCCTTTCACCATAGCCCTGTTCTTAGTTTACCTGATCCACTTAATCAGAACTTGGAACACAGATCTGTCAGATTTTGTACTCTGTGCCCTTGATGCCAAGGGTCAGACCTGCTAACATAGGTTTCTTTTACATATTAGAATCATTTTCCTAATACGTAAAAGACCTGAATCTTTGTCTGCTCAGAGTTCAAATTTTATAAGTATGTCTTTAAGTAAATGAGGTAAATCTGCCTCTTCCCCTTCAACACCCTAAGATAATAATGTATAATAATATTATGGGTGCATAGCTAGGCACATAGATGAAGAAACATTGTTTTATATTATCCACTACTTTATTCTTGTTTCATTTCACAAAAACAAAATATATCCCTAAATGTGAATAACCAGTCTACTGCATTGTACAGAAGTTAGCTTCTGATAAATTCCTCTCTTCCCCCCTCACACAAGTACAAGCACACACACACACACACACACACACACACACACACACACACACTTCTATTCCCATAGACTGACAAAAGATGGCTGTAATGGGAAGATGAAACTTCCCAGAGTAGGTGGTACCAGAACATGCATCCTGCTGTTCTCTCACAGCATCTCACTTCCCTCATAGCCCGCCAGCTACTGGGCAAAGAACCCTTTTCCTGGAATGACTTTCATACCATCTCACCTCAGCACACTCATTGGCATATTTGTTCACTTCATCCACTCTCCTCTTTCGAGCTGACAGTTCCTCCTGAAACTCTTCAAACTTCTTATGCAAAAATTCTGTGCGCTCCCAGGCCTCACCCAGCTCTGTAGATGTCACAATAGATTTCTGTAGACAAAAAATAATTTGCTGACTCACAACAAACACTGAGGAGTTCTAACAGATCAAAAGTCCAAGACCCAAGCTTGCAATCTGGTTATAACTTAGAAATACTGGGAACTCTTTCATGTTCTGGTAGATGAAGAAGCAGTTCATTCTGGTTCTACTTTACTACTCTTTTAAATATACCATTACTAAATAAATAAACCTTTATGTCTGTAAACACTGAAGGATAAGAGATTTGGGGAAATGCTGGAAATATTTTCAGCCAGGCTCTCAAACTGAGCAGAAACCTGGGAGAAGGAGTTAAAGATCATAAAAGTGCAAAGAGGATGATGAACCTAGATGATATTCTAAGGCAAGATCTTTGTGTCGGTCTTGTCTTCTCCATATTTAGATCCACAAATTTATACTTATCCCCTACGATTTCCTCCCCTTAATGTTATTGCTTATTTGCCAAAAATTCCTCTTGTTCCAGGGAATGATGTCCACAAACAGACATTGTGGCTTCTTTGTGAATAGCTTGCAATTAATTCCTGTGGAGTCGCTGGGCCAGGGGGAAGGGTGCTGTCTGTGTCCTGTCCTATACCTTCTCTTCAATCCATTCCAAGATATCACCACACTCCAGGAAGTACTGATAGAACTTCAGGCTCTGCCATAGCCAGTCACTCTTCTCCTTGGTCAGCTCCAGCAGCAGGTTCCACAGTCTGCGTAGTTCTTCCAGATGGGTCTTTAGGGAAGAAAGAAGTACTGAAGCACAGAGGCTATGCAGGGGGTACAGACCCAGAGACTTGTGCAGAAAACACTTAGGTTAGGGCTGTGATGCATCTCATTGGTAGAGTGCTTGCCTAGCATGCACAAGGCCTTGAGTTCTATCCCCAGTCACACACACACACACACACACACACGCACGCACGCACGCACGCACGCACATATGCACATAAAAGCTAACAACAAAGAATCCTGGTTCAGGGCTGGGGAGATGGCTCAGTGGAATAAGTGCTTCCCTGGCAAGCATAAGGGCCTGAGTTCAATCCCTGGTTCTGCCAAAAAAAGAAAAAAGAATCTGGGTTCAAAATTCTACCCATCATTTACGCACAACTTAAAAATTATATATGCATGCAATTATGCAATTATTTGTTACAGTGAAACAAATATTATCTTCCATGAGACAAATCTTTGCTAAAATACTTTGAAATTCTACAGTATAGATAGCTACATGGATAAGAGGAAAGATGAATGGAAGACTGAAAACACAGAGTCTAAAAAACCGAAAAGCAGTTAGATGTCAGGCAGTGAGTATTCTAAGTGCAAAAGCACAGGTGTTGACAGAAAAAAACAAAAGCTAAATTTTTCTGATTTATTAGGAGATTAAGAATATTTGCAGAGCATTACTTTGAGACTATATATAGGACTTGGGGTACAAGATTGTCTCAGAACATTTCTTTATTCCATATCTTATAAAAGTAAAGGTACCAACTGTATTTTGTCTTCAAGAGTATAAAGACGGTCAGCTACTGTGTTGTTCAGCTGGGAATGTGGATCACATTTCTCTCTAAAACTTGTTTTGATTCCTCCCAATAGTGTCCTAGTCATTCTGAGAGGTAGGAGATGTTTTAAAATTTTCTCAAATGTTTTAATTAATGTATATGAATTACATATAAAGCTAAATATTAACAGATTTATATTTTATATAAAATAAGTTTGGAAATTTTATTTTAATCCTTTTTTTCTCAAAAATTATTTTCTGGTTAAAGTCTGTTTTGCTTGGAAATATTTTGCTGATAATAGGATGAGAAATAATTTTTACAATATATTAAAACTTCTCATTTTTTAAAAAATGTAATGGAAAGGGTTTGACAACTTAAAAATATGTAAAGTAAGTTCAGTCACTGAAAAGGATCATAAAGGATCACACTGCATCACTACATATAGTTTGGGGCTGGGTAGATAGCTAAGGGGTCTAAGGACCTGCTTGGCATGCACAAGGATCCAGGTTCAATCTCCTGTACTATATGCTCTGCCAGCCCTGGAACCCTGCACACTGTGTCGACTACTGAAACCAGGCATTGTGGGACACTTCTATAATCCCAGTGCTGAGGAAGCTGAGACAGGAGGATCACTATGAGTCTGAGCTGTATTACAAGATTCTGTACCAAATAAATAAATAAATACACACATTTGAAAAACTGTGATTTAAGTAAAAAAAATAGCTTATATAATATTAGGTAAGAAAGGAGTAAATGCTTTTGAAAAGGTTGATTTTATTTTATTTTATTTTGAAAAATAAGAACAGAAGCAGAGACAAATAGAAAAAGGCAGAAACAGGATAATATACAACAATGTATATGTTACAGATTTTTCAAAACAGGAGTAACTAATTAGAAATGGTTGTTATATTATCTATTTTTATGATCAAATCTGTTGCTTATATGAACAGATATAGTTATGCAAGATTGAAGAAATAACTGAATATTGGCCCCTGCTTTTAAGAAATCCTAATTTTTTTCCTTTTTGTTTTGATGTATTTTAAAGAGAGCAAAATAATTGATAAGACATTAGAAACAGTACATATTGAGAAGACCAAGAGGCATCCAACCATGGGTTTTGCATTACACATTGCTGTCCTCAATGTAGATGCATATAGAGTTCATCAAGGGGAAAATTCTAAACATGCACATCTATTTTCAAAAAGAATGATGAAATTATCAGTACAGTTATCTCAGCCATCCTGTATACTCAAATACTTGAACACTTGTATATTCAAATACTTGAATGTTTTTCAGTCCATCCATTGGAAAGAAAAAAAGGATAGATAGAAAGTAAAGGTTGTCTTTAGATTTCAGGGGCCAAAACAGATTCTCTGAGAACAGAAAATTTTAAGGATTATTTGAAATAAGGGGGAAAGAGAGTTCAGAAAGATACAAGTGTTTATGGTATGTGGTATGTGACAATAGAGACTTCATAGGAAAAAGACAAAAATTCAGAAAAATTTCAAACAAGAGAAGGCAGCATATTTGAAGAAGGCCATATAGCAGGATAATGAATTAAGAAGAAATAGAGAAAAACACTTAGAAAAACTAGTTCAACCATGAAATAGCAAGCAGGTTGAAGTGAACTTCATCTTGAACCAAATTATTGTACATGACAGAAAAAAAGTGGAATACCCCCAGTGACATGTTCCCGATTCTGATTCTTTTCCCCACCCCACTGAACACAGTGAGATCACATAATTTCTCTACCTTCAAGGTCAAGGCTGGAAGAGGCTGGAATCCTTATTCTAAGACAATTATATCAAGCCTGATATCTGGCATAATCAATTGAAACTGTTGGACAACAATCAATAAATTAAAAACTTCCCTTCGAAATTCCTATTATACATTTACCTTAGTATCTTCATGGGCAAAATGGTCTTCAGTGAGTCGGGCTTCTCTGGTTTCTTCCAGTTCAGGAAGGGCGCTGGATTTTGCTTGTACTTCTCCTTCAAAAGCTTCATGCTTCTGATGTTTTCCCTGAAGTTTAGAAATTAAAAATCTTGGCAATGAAACACACTGTCTCTGGAACATAAGACGGACTACAAACTCCTCGTCTTACTTTGAGGCAGAACTACGTGTTCCAAAACTTAGATTAAAAAATATTCCATGTCAATAGCTACAATAGCTATATCCTATAAGCAATGGTCATTCTTGGTAGAACTACTGAACATAGGTTGCCAAAGTTCCCAAAGGTACCAGAGGGGGTCTTTTCCTGCCCACCAATTACTTTGAAGATTTTAATTCTGATATTATTTTAATGATATGCTAACATTTTAAAGATGCTATTACTCCTATTGAAATGAAAACATGAAACATAAAGAATAGCACAGTTCTATTCAAAGCAGAAAGTAATGACAAAGATAATAATTATAATAATAGTTTTGTAAACATGCATGCTGGGCTGCATTCTTGTCCTGTGTACACTGATCCGGTGGAGGATCAAAGTACATATTACTTTGATCTTGCTCTAGGTGCTCCCTGCCCAATATCCATCAATTTTGCAGCTAGTATACTTTTTTTTTTTTTTTTTTTGGAAGACAACTATGTTCTAATATGAGGTTAAGTTTCCAAAACTTTTCCTGAGAGCTTTCAACTGAAATTAACAGGAGTAAAAAATAACTGTTTTGGGAAAACTTAAGGAAATCTGTGGCTCTGAAGAACGTGGAGAGTAATTGCTTTGGAGACATTGATTTTTTTTAAATCATGACTCCATTCTTAATATAACAAAATATTCATGTGATATGTCTGTGATATTCTGTGATATTTCAAACTTTTAGTCATATTTTGTCAACATCTTTACTTCATTTAAAATTATTTCAGATTAATTAAGATGGAAGGGGACCAAAGGATGGAAAGAGAATAGAGAGGAAGGGGTGAAAATGAATTAAGATGTATTGTGTATGTATACCAACTCCCCACAATTAATGTAACTAATATGTGCTCCAAACATATACTAATAAAAATTTAATTTTTCGTTATTCAATAAATCTCTACTTACCGTATTTATTAAAAGGGAACAAAATCAAAAATGGGTACAGAATAAATTGTAAATTTTTAAAAATCTAATAATTATCCTCTGACTCATTATGGCCACTAAGAGTTTCAACATGTTATCACATTATTATAGATTACTTGAAGACTAGTGGGGAGAAACAAAATAGGAAGACAGAGGTCAGAGACAGAGAAATCTAGGCAGCTGAACAGGTAATTACTCATTGTTCTCAGGCATCCGGGGTCAAATACTCAGAATAGGAATCTTGAGCCTTCACTCCTTTTTTCTACTTACACCGTAGTACAGATGAGCTGTAGCCTCTTACTATTCTTACCCATATCCCATCTAGAATGCCAAGGACTGGAGGACTAGCTTTTCCAGCCCCACAGTATCACAATATGCTGTTTTTTTTTTTTTTTTTTTTTTTTTTTTTTTTTTTTTTTTTTTTGGTCAGAACCGGGAATGAACTCAAGCCCTTGTGCTTGCCAGGAAAGCGCTTATTCCACTAAGCCACCTCCCCAGCCCCTCAGCACGCTGTTTCTAATGGAAGTGTGACTCACCCTAGTCTTTGCTTAGAGAAACACAGTGCTAATCTGTAACTGCTATGGTTTGTGCCTAGGTGTCCCCACAAAGCATCACACAGCCATGGGGCAGCTTCTGGAGTTTGTGATTGATTCTTGATGCAATGCTGGGATTATGGGTATGAGTGCCCTGGGGCAGATGCAGCTGCATTACAATGCGAGGAGGGGAGAGAGGCTAGCTAGCTGCCTGAGTGACTGCTTCTCCCTTTGCTCTCTGCTTGTTGCTGCCAGCATGAACAGTTGCCCTCAGCCACGTGCACTCTACCTTGGAGCTAGTAAGTATAGACCGAAACCTCCAATGGCTGTGAGCTAAATAACCCCTTCCTGCCTTCAAAGAATTTAAAAATTTAAACTTTTAAAAATTCTAAAGATTAAATGAAGTTACCTAAGGGTATTATCTAGAAAGAATTCACTGAAGCTAAAATGTGGATGATCAAAAGCTTAATGATATGCTACTTATTGATAGAAATAACATCCCCAGTAGACAGTCTAATCTTTATTTCCTTAGTGTTTACCAGCTATGCATTGTGAGAGATATATTTAGGTATGTAAGTTTGGACAACTGTATTCTGGATTTCTGCTGGTCTATGTAAAGGAATAGATAATGCTTAATTTGTTTTGTTTTTTATTTTCAATTGTTTGTACTTTTTTTTTTTTAGTACAGGGTCTATAGGGACTCACTACACAGATCATACTCATAGTGATCCTCCTGTTTCCAGCCTCCCAAAAACTGGGATTAGAGTCACATACAACCACACCCAGTCTCTCTCCTTAATTTTTTACATATTTATTTCTTCTTTCAATTATTCATGCACATATCTGGTAATATGAATAACATGTTTAACTATACACCCTGCCATGATGCTGTCTGACATAGCCCAAGTGATACTAATACATGGAACATGCTTCAAATATTTTTTCAAAAGCTTCACTTATACAGAGGTTCTCAATTCACTGAGTCAATGCACACATCTGGGAAGTGCATGACTTTAGTCAGAAATAGCTGATACATTAGTAGCAGATAACAGGGAATAAGTGCTGCCTGAGTAGTGGTTATCACCACTTTATAGGTACTCAAGAAAGATTTTTCTGAGGATGCACATTGTAGAAATTTTTTAAAGGGAAGAGCTTAAATAAGTAGAATAGTAGACAAAAAGTGTATTGTACTAAACGAAAGAGCATTAAAAGACAAAAGGAAAAGATGGCAGGAAAGCTTCATGTGGGAGAACATCGATGATTTAAAGAGGCAAGGAGAATGAGGCTCAAAGAAATTATCAGAAAAGACACTTTGAAAATCTAAATTCAACTTAGAAATGTGGAGCAGGTTTTATGGCAGTTGAACTGAAGCCAAATTATTCTATGGTGGCAAAGGAGACATGTATACTATCCAGTGCTATCTGCTATGCCTCCATTCTTTCTTGAACTCCAGTGAACGACAGGGCATCCCATGGTCTCTTCTGTCTCACCCCTGCAGAGCTTTGAGGGCAGGAACACATTTTCTAAACTAGGTGAAGCAAGGTTTGTATCTGATATCTCCAATTAAAATTCTGATATCAAAAAGTAATTAGAAGCATACACTGTAGATCTCTATCATATGTTTACCTTAATGTCTTGATAGACCAATTGAGATTCAGCAACAAGAGTGTTTTTGTATTCAATCACTTCAGGAAGGACCTCTGCTTCTGCTTGTAGCTGTTCCTTGTCATATGTAGGTTCCTGAGGTGTAAAAAAAGACAGAGTGTGTGAGTAATGGAGCCAATTGTACTGAACCATAAAGTTGACTTTGTATTCCTCCTGTTACTTGCAGGGAAAACTGCTTGCTCCCCAACCTGAATTAACCTAATCTGTAGCCACGTTTGAAATAGTCGTATCCTACAGCAATGGTCATTCTAGGTACAGCCATTAGACACAGTTTGTAAGAGAGCCCCAGACTCAATGTCTGAGGCCAGAGAGAGTCTTTCCTGTGCTCCCTTGCCTTTGAAAAATTTTAAGCAAATATCTTGTTATTTAAAAGGGCTCACAGATCTCTAGGGAAATAAAAAAAGTTATGTTAGCCATAGTGTGCTTTTCAAAATAGGAACAGCTAAGTTCTTTAGAACATCGAGCACAATGAAGATGGTAGCTTTAACAATAGCAATGTAAACAGGAATAATAAGATGTCAATTAATTTATTTGACATGCATGACTTTGATCTTATTCTAGGCACTCATTGCTTAATACCAACTGCCCTCTTGCCATGTGTACACCTTTCCTCTCATGATAACTATATCACTGGCTATGCTATGAGATCCACAGACAGTTGTAGAATTGTCCACCAATTTTCTCTTAGGACCTTTCAGCTGCAATTAGTAAGATCAATTAGTAGAAATTTAGGAAAAACTTCACAAAAGCCCTGGCTCTGAAGAGAATGGAGACTACTAGCATTAGAAGCATTGATGATTCACTACAACTAGACTGTTATTAATGTCACACAGTATTGCAATCACACAATATGTCAGATATTCCTTAAACATTTACTTACTCTTTTTGCATAAATGCTTTAATTTCAAATTCTTTCTAGCTGTTATGGTATACTAGCTAGAATTTTCTTTGCAAGTAAAGTGCTACTTTAAAAAGTTAAAGATCTGTCATTTAAAAAAAGAACTAGCAACCCTAATAAACTAATCTTATATTCTTTCATAGTTAACTGGCTATATATTTTCTTAACAAGAAAGTGTTAGAAT